AATTGAATGTTCTAGATTATCTTGGAATTTCAATGAGAAATAATTTGGATTGACGACTGGAAACAATATGTAAGAACTATGTGAACATGGGCATGTGGATAAATTTTAATCTTCTAGTAATATGATGAGCTAGCATAAAATCATATAAATTTAATTTGATTGACAATATGACAAAAAATTAGAATTTTGCGTTTTGTATCTCAACAGTTGACACTTTAATTCTACTCTTGTGCAAAACAATAATCACTTAAGAGACCGAGCTTGTTGATTGACCAATAGATCAAAATCTTTGAAGCCACTCAAATTTTCTAAAAAAAATCTCTTCAACTAATCAAATGAAATATCTACAAATTGCAAAGAATTCAAAGTGACAAAATCCAATCATAATTTTAGTTGTTTAACACTTATATTTTCTTGGGTGTGCAAGTGAAAGAATGATGTCATTGCTCAAAACCCTTTAGAAATGGATAGATAATACACTTGATATTTTTCTAGAAGCAGATTGTGGGCAAACCGTGAATAAAATGATGACATGCCTTGTGTTTCACATGATTGAGGAGTTCGTGATGTCCGATCTTTCATATGCCAAATGAAAGACAAAGACCGCTACCACCGCTGAAAAAAAAACTTTAGCGAGAGTAATCTTGACTCAAACAAAATGAACATGGTACTATATTTTGCAAGATCTCTACACATTGATGTAAATTGAACTGCACTTTTCAAAGTTCAGCCACCATCTTCTAGACATGGCCATATGAACTAACAATCTCCACAAAATCTATTCACAACCATTGAATTTCCTTGTGATGTATCCTGAAGTAATGCATTGATTCAAGGATTCTATGTTCTTATTTTGCACATCTAAAATCTTGCAAATTGTCGATTAAATTCATCAATTTGTCCAACTTGTGAAGGTAAGCGAGTATTACACACTCTGATAAAAATTGTTATGCACTACACCAAAAACACAAACATTCAGAGAGAAATGCAAACACATCAAAGCAACAACACTTAAGTACATGGTTTGTGATTGTGATTTACGTACATGAAAACATTGAAAAATTTTACTAATGAAAAACTTCAAATATCCAGAGCTCTTGCTAGCTAATCTACATTGATATAGTTTACAGCGACAACATAACCTAATCGTTAGATTTAAAATGTCTAAGTTAAAAAAGATGTGATTGAATCATTAAAATTTATAAATTTAATTTTTATAAAGATTATGAAACATTTTAAAAAATTATTTAATATTATGATTTATTTGATTGATATTTTTTGTATAAAAAAGAGGTCAAAATTTGAATATTTTTGTCAATACTATATTTTTCATGATTTATTTCGAATCATAAAATTATAACTTAAACATCCAAAATTTTTAATTTGCATTTTTTTTAAAAAATTGCACTTATTTATTTGGTATAAAAATTTCTCTATTTTTTTTTAACTATCTGAAGGAGGCGTGAGATCTAACAGCGTGAACATTTAGTCTCAAAAGATGCAATATGATCATTTTAGCAAGTTAAAATGAACATAAATTAAGATAAATTTTTTTAATTTAGTTATTAAATAATTATATTAGTTTTCTCTATCACATTGATAATTTAAATACTAATTAAATGATGATTTGAATGTATTCATAAAACTTGACAATATGTATTTTTATGATGATATTGGACACATGATTAATTCGCAATGAAGTGGTTGATGATGAAAATAAACATTTTTTGGGTTTTTTGAAGTATTAAATATGAAAAAGTATGATCATTTTTTTCAATTTTTAAGTTTTTGACTGAAATTTTTTCTTGTCATTCTAATTTTTTATGTGACTTTGCCATTTATAAGTACTTTAGATATATGTATACATATATACACACACACATTACTTTGTAATTAAATTCTATAAATATGCAATCATCATTCTAATAGGATTTTCATCAATTAAATATAATTTCAAAACCTAAATCAAGTCATGTTAAAAAATGACTTGAAATTTTTATATGAAGTTTTTTTTTGATACTGAAAAATGTGTAGAAAAAAACTTTGGTTTAATTTTTTGTTTTGATGATCTAAAAATTTTAATTTTAATTTTAAATTTATTTTTTTAGTTTCTTAAGAAATAAAAATTTTACTTAGATCACTAAAAGTTATATATCAATCGAAAACTTCTTATCAAGATGAATGTAATAAACTTAACCATTTGTTAGATAAATCATACTAATTACTAACATATAATTATATAATTAAACATATCTAGATAGATCAATACCATTCTTATTAGGCATTGACTACAATTTTTATGGTAATTCAAGTTAATTTAATTTAATTTAGTGAAGTTGATGAAACCGTTACGAAATATGAGAGCTCTCGTTGACACAAATCATGGATTTTTCTGAATAACCCATCATCATCTTTGTGTTATCATGGATTTAATACTATAACGTAAATGAGGCTGTTGTTGGCACAAGCGCAGCTGGTGTAGTGGTATCATAGTACCCTCCCACGGTACTGACCGGGGTTCGATTCCCCGGCTGCGCAGCCAGTCAAATGAGGTGGGTTATCTCTTGAGAGAGCTTTTGCTGGCTGTCTCACGTTGCGGTTGTTATGCTCTACCAATGTCTATTTACATTGTGTGAAACTCAACATGTATCTTGATAATGCGTTTAACTAATCTGTAAGATATTCAAATTTGAGAGTCATAAAAGCTTATGAAAGAGCATCTATTTAATCTTGGACAAGGTGTTCCATCATTAAGATTATATGTCCAAATAGCTATAAAACCTACAAATTTTGTAGGTTGAATTACTGGTTGGGTAAATGAACAAAGGGTTGCCATGGAGAAATCACTTACGGACGTACAGGTTGAATTGGACTGCCTTTGTGCCAACAAGGACTAGGAGATTGGAAGACTCACCAAGGAGAAGCAAGAATCTGCGGAGACAGTTGATGATAGGTTAAATCCGAGTGGGAGAGGTGGAAGTGAACCGATCACAACACTTGGCAACTTTGTTGAGAATATACTTAAACTACATGGTTGTTAGGTGTAATTGAGCCGAATTACAGTCTTTGATCCGTCTGAAACAGTTGATGCAATAATCGGACGAGCAGAAGAACGTGGCACATTTGGTCGCTGGACGGAAGTGTACCAACGCAATGTGACATAGGCCAGAACTGTTTAATGAGCTGCAGAAAAGTGATAGCGGCAGTGGACGCATTTGCTGCGAATGTGGAGCGCTCGCCGGTTAGAATATCGGGCATCGCTTTGCAACATATGGAACTAGAATTAGGAATAGAACTAGAATGTACAAGTTAGAAATTATAATTTCGTTTTACAAGTTTTTGATTGTCAAGCTGCAAGTGCCAGTGTTATAAGAAGTGCAAGAATAGGTAGTACCAGTGCTATAAGAACCTATTGATGCTGGTTGCAAACTTTTGAAAAGGAAGCTCATGAAGTTTCCGTAGGTCACATATTACTCAATCGCATTTTTTTTCATCTATATTTATTTTAAATGGAAAAATAATTGAAGGTTGATACCATCTTGTACCTAATCAGTTCCATGCATCATCTTGACGTGGATAATCATAAGCTACCTCGTTAACATTAGAAAAAGAAAAATAGGAAAGATTTAGAGTGTATATCAAACTGGTTGTTTCTACATATCTTGTCTCAATGGCGTTTGACGCTGTACGGCAAGGTAAAAGAAGGAGCACGTGGAGATACACGTGTAACAAATAAGTGTTTTTTTGCCCTACATGGCCTTTATGAGACAATAAATTGAAATGGCATTGTTGAGATGGAAAGCGCTCATGAATTCCATGCAAAAACATCGTTCTTTTCTCTGGTCTGGTTCATGGGTTACAAGGATGGAGACTGCTAGAATAGTCATAGTTTTAGGTTCGAGTAAGAACACGCCGCGATTTTCCATATCAAGATGGGTAGTGATTATGCACACAATGGTGACATTCTCCTGATCGTCATCGTCGGTCCTCCGTGCAAGAGGACGGTCGGACTTGAGACGATGCCGCAGCTCAAGGTCGAGCATACGCTTGCATGCAAGGAGAAAACGTTGTCCTTGAGAGGTAGGACTTGAAGACAGAGAATTCATGATTTTTTGCTGCAACGAAAAAGGAAAAAAGGTCAGCGTGATATTTTCTTCCGTCTCGATTGCGTTCAGCGGTTGTGGATGTCGAGGCGGAAAGGCCTGGAGAAAGCGACGGCTATCATCACCCCGACCTCCCCCACGGTTCCTTGCGTAAGGCCGTGTCGAGGACGGAAGTCAATGGCCGTCACCGCAACCGTTGAGGTGGCCGGAAAGAGAAGCACCTCGGAGCACCAAAATCGAAGAGTATTTTCTTCGTGCGAGGGATCACGAGGGACGACACACCCTCGAGGCCATGAGGAGCCTTCTCGCAAGGCGACGGACTCGACGGCGGGCAGCCATGGGTGGAGGGGTGCCAATCGACCGAGTCCATCCCTCGCGGCCCTGAAAGCCGTGGAAAAGAACGGCGGCATCACCAGGTTAGCGGCGTACCTACGGTGCGCGGACACGAAGACTGACGAGAATTATTGATGAGATAGATCGGAAGTGGGTGAGATTCTCGGCCATGACGCCAGGGGCAACGACATGTGTGTTTCTGGCATAAGCGCTAATAACCCTCTCCTCTCCACTCCGCCCCCGCCGAGGAACTAATGTTGCTCGGATCATGAGCAACGACACGAAAGGAAGAGCTTGGAGCCGCGCTGGCTCGCGGGATCCGGCGCTGTAACGTACTGGCCACTGTTCTGGCAAATATCAAATAAGAAATTCGATTCGTAGAGGGCTCGGGGATCTTCGGGGGGTGTGGTTGCACCAGCCCGGGCCTGGCCAATGCGCCAGCGGCGAGCAGATCTGGTTCCGGCATCTGCTTTCCAACGGCGGCCATAAATGAGCAGCGCGAGCAAGTCGCATGTCAACAAGCAGTTGTAGGCCGGACGGGGCGACACCAACTCCACGACACAACAACGACGGTTGTGGTCGATCGATCGGGAAACGAGCGCTGACTTCGATTGCCCAGCTTTTGCTTCTCGCTTTCCGCCCGTGCCAGCGGCCGCGGCAGCGGCAGCAGCGTTGCGCAAAAGAGCTTTGAGCGAGCGAGCGAACGAACGATCGCTTTCCGAGCGCTGTGCGCTCTCGTACCTTGGTGTCTTGGTGTGACGGGCTCCTCACACCATGATGATGACGGTGCTGATGCATGGCGCCGCGCAAATGTTATGGGCGGGCGTGCGTGCGTGCGCGGGGCCGGACGGGCGTGCGTGCGTGCGGCGGGGGAATGCGTTGCTTCTTGGCTTGGCCATTGTGACGCTCGAGCCACGAGGCTGATGCGGTGCTCGTTGTCTGCGACGAGCTCGAGATCACGCGTGCTATTTGTGCCTTCTCCTGCCGGACCCTACTCGTAGAATGGCTCGAGCCTGCCACAGCCGAGCGAGCCTAAAGCCTGCCTCGCAGGATGAGGTGTCCATGAGGTTTTCGACCTTGGACAAAGCAGAGTCACCACACCCTCCCCTGCCCTCCCATCACCCTGCAGCCTGCGGATGGCCGGACCAACCACGTACACTATGTGCTCCGCCTCGGACGAAGGTACCCGGCCCAAACTTGAGGCACCCGCATGATACTTCGATAAAAGATCCATTAATTTACACCTTGCAACAAAAAGTCGCGAAGTTGATAAGAGCGGGTGAAATATCCAGTCAAATCAATCATAGTTTCCAGAACCATGATCGCTGTACGCACTTCTCTCCCTGGATGGGAGGCGATTCATCATTCATGAACCCCTTTCTCTCATTCATTCATTCATTCATCTACGGCACGGTTGAACGGACCGAATTTCAGCAGTACTGGTTGTGGCTCATGAAACCCTCGACGCGACGGAGCCATGCGCCATGGACGCGCCATTCTCGTTTTCCGATATCATTTAGGGAGCTGCAGATGTTATTACTCCCTGATGATGATGGCGCAGTTCAGCATTTCGTTGATGCAAACGAGATTAAGGGGGAAGCCAAACGACTCGATTTGTAATTAACGGAGACAGGCACACATTGTCCCCGTCTGTCAGACAGCACTGAGTGTCGAACAGCGTGGAGGGAAGTTCTTCGGGGCTCAAACTTCTGGTAATGATTGCATAGACGCTCTACGATGACACAGACTAGCATCCGTCCCTTCATTCCTTGATATTGTGCGTGCCCGAGTGGCTCACCGCTTTGGGGTTTCGACTACCGAGTTAATGGTGGTTATGAAACTCCAGACAGTTGATGATTCGGCAAACAAGCAGTTTTCCGACTTCTGTGGACAGCCGCTTCATTTTCACTGAAATTCAGGTTTGAGATACAGCGGAGGAAGAGCCCTGAGAAGGTTCTGAGCCTAGGAGGCCCCAAATTCGAGGCTTCTATCCTGGTGACAAACACGGCGGGGGAGGAGAGTAGGTGCGGAAGAAGTTATGCACGAAGTGCGAGTGCTTGTGTGCAGAAACTCCAGCAGGTACTTAGACTTTGGGAGAAGGAGGTGCAGTTAGATGGCTGGCTGGCTGGCTTCGGGTCGACGGCACCAGCCAAGGCTGAGCAGCATGGAGAGACAAGCTCTTCAAGGCCTGGGTCGAATAAAAATTGGTCCGTTGATGCATGACAAGGTGTAGCTTCAATCATCAGACAAGTCGAATATTACAGCCTAAATCGTCGCGTTGGTCTGCTGCCGAGATGCATTTATGAGCTGCACAGACTCTTGTAATTAACAACTGATTTCCGAACAAGGACTAGTCGGGCATCCACATTGCTGGAAACAGAGACTTTCTGGTGCGTCACGTCAGACTAGGTGGTCAACTGCGATGATACATGGTGGGCCACAGTTGCCGGTTCTCGGTAGGTTTGGGTCAGCAACGCTTTTGTCCCACTCCACAAGAGCGAGCTGAAGATCAAATGACACTAAAATGACACTCAGATGGATGTGCATTTCATTTCTCATGTAAGTGTCCTCTTCCCGCCCTGAAATTCAGATCATCACGTCAGTGTCCAGTACCGAAGCGGGTTCCTGCATCACTGAGTGCTGCTAGCTTCTAGATGCCGAGCAGATCAGCTCCATCAAGATCTGCATTCCAGAGAGCTCGAATAAAATCTCGACCAGCTATGTTTGGAGCGAAAGCAGGTTCCGCACGACGAGATAGTTATGAATGGTGGAAAGAGTGAAGGAGAGGAGTAAGGCGGCGAGGGTTGGCAGCAGAAGTCAAAGGCTGTAAAAACTTAGTAGGCAGGGAAAGATCTTAGAGGATGAAATCTTGTGAAGTGGGTGCGAATCCAGTTTGAACCCACAGTCCGTCACGAACGGGAGTGTTTGAATGCTGCTGCTGGATGCCCGAAGTCTCTTCCGTGACAGGACCTGGAGACATCCTGTCGTGAAGTCGTGATAAATTCACTGCTGAGAGTCCCGTGACCAGGATGTCGCCTTTGACGCTGGCGAGGCTTTTTGTCTCGAGCTCGCCGTTTGATGGGCACCAGTCAACACGATGCTCAAACTATTTCAACGCTTTGAATGCATTTACCATTGTCAAGTGATGGTCGACACAGTTGACCAATGCTGCGAGAGATGATTGGACTTCCACACCACTTGAGCAATAATTGAAGAGGAAATACCAAAAGCAGAAGCAAGCTTTTGTTTCATTTTGCGATATTCGAAGATTTTGACATACGATCTCAAAATCCAATACAATGTGTGTTTCTTAAACTAAAAATAAATGCACCATATCAAATTCAGTACTGTTGGAAATTACTGCATCCGTCGCAGGTAAAAAGATACCTGGTGCTTGAGTTGCACCATAACGCTCCCTAAAGTTGCGATCTCGATTTCCCTTTCCCTTCGCATGTTACTCAAAAGTGGATTGTCCGAGCCATTTTTCCTCCGAAAAGCTTTATGAGAAGAGCACGAGTCTCCTCTTCCTCCATCTCACGAACCCTATGTGATCTTTCTTCTAACTTTCATTCAAGGCGCGAGACCACTTTGGTCTTTACGGATACGCGCGTCAGTCTCCTCTCCTTTTGAGCCCATTTTAGTTATTCTATGTTCCAAGCGTCATTGGGCGCCCGACTTCAACACTATTTGCTACAGAAAAACTTTCACGAGATCCCCCTCTTTCCAGGGTGAGATGGAAATAAATAGCCCCAGCTTCTATGAATTCTTTGAAAAATCGGAAGAACTTTACCCGAGATGGGTGTAGTCAACTCGGAACTGAACTGGTAATGTGGTTGACCGTGACATTTACACGTCAATGAAGACGATTTCCAGACCGTACTTTACTGCACAAGCCAACTCAGTTGTGTCGAGCTAGGAATAACGAGAAACTTTTCCACCAGGTCACCATAATCTGATCTACCTTACAATCACTTTTCTTAATAATACTCGCAGTGACATAGCTCGCTTTCTCAATCATCTCACTGCATGCAGAGCAAGGTGATGTAGTTTTCGAGACATTCCCCTGAGTCGAAGATTGATATCCTGAGCATTTCCGAGCTGAAATATATTTATATGCTCTTACTTCATGCAGTGCAGTATATGGATGCATTTTGTTAAAGCAATGATGGACGTAGATGTGATAATGTCATCATTCCATTCGTCCCACTTGTAAGGCTGAGTAGATTGGTTATTGACTCCTCGAGGTGCACATCTGAGTTTGCAGATTCTGAGGATCGTATTCAATCTTTGAGGTTTCAGATCACAATCAGGTACTTCCATGCCATACTCACATGCCTAGCATATACCAACACTCTAACTTGTGCAGTAGATATCTACAGTGTGTACTGCTTTTTAAAATGACTTCGTTTTGTTCGGGAGACATGAATGAGGTCGTAAAGCTTCGATGTACTGGGGGCGGCAACATGATAGTGTAGTCCAATGCACGCCTTGGGTCCTATTACTGTCCAGTACAGCCCAAAGACAATGACAGACACCACTAACTTGGATTCGTGTTGTGCTCGCAGAATTATTTCCTTGACACGCGAATGAGCGTACGAAGTTACCTTCTTCCTCGTTCTTATTGAACGAGGAAGAAAACCAAAACTTCAGCAGACTTTGGTATCCGTCCTCTTTATTCGTCTGGGTGCCATTTGTTCATGCTAAGATCGTGCCAAGTCCCCTGTAAGATGAATATTTTGAATGCACTACATTAGCAAAGACACATGACTTAAGTGGGATCGTGACACCCCATCTTAGTTGGCTATATCACTCACGAAGAGTTTAACTGTATTCGTTGTATAAGCATGGATGCCAAGCATGGATGACATCCGACTCAGTAGATTCAAGGATGATAATCGCAGCTGAATTCCTGTTTGCAACTTATAGTGCAGATCTTTGTCACGACGTGCACAATGATTCGCCGAAGAATTGCTGATTTCCAATCATAAGAGATGTCGAGGTCACATCCAGAGGTATGATAAGCGAAGGTACCTGCATAAATGTAACCCTTCCGGAATGTGGTTCCGTATATGCTGCACTCAACCAATATTTTTCAAGTGCTCACGGTACAGATTCGTATTCGTCCGTGACCGACAGACACCACCCATATCACGGCCTGTAAGTGCTTGCAGGGTACATCGTCGTCGTCGTCTGAATTTCACCTCAAATACAAGTCTCTACTCATTTCGATGAAAATTCTAGCAGGACCGGTTCTATACAATACGGTAGTTTGAGTTCACCGATTTCCTTCCATATACGGTCGAACTGGCATGTAACGGACGAATTTCGGTCTGGAATGTGAAGCTGTGAATACATCGAAGTCAAAGCCCTGGTCCGACATCTGAAGCCGACTCGGATACGCCTTTATCGCCTGCTGATTGGAGCTCCATCGAATGGTCACAGCCGTCGATGTTCCAAGCTCTCTACAAAAATTAAGGGCCCCACACCCAAGTCGCTTAAGCCACTCCCAGCAATTGAATGCTTGCAGTCTTTGAAAATTCCACTTGTATGGTTGAGGTGATAGCTCTCCGGAATCATTCTGTCCATCATTCATGTTTTTCACTTTCAAGGTGTATGTGCACCCATATACACGTTATCGTTGCCTCGTACTCAAATATTTCCGTTCGCACTTTTACTTTTACATCAAAACATATTATCACCAGATCCTATACTGAGCATAGGAATCTGGTTCGTCTGAATGTGTATGTATCGTCTTGCAAGGCAAAGCCAGGGGAGCGGTTGGTCTGCCCTGAAGATGGCTTGCAATTTATCCAGGAGAAAAATCTTATTCTTAACCTTAACTTTGCAGTGCTCCATTTCTAGATCTCAGAAGATCCAAAAGCATCAGCAGTTGAGAAAGTATGGGAGACGAAAGTCTAGGCAGCGGATGTGAAGGAAATCCGAGTGGATTGTGTTGCTGGATATGGAGGCAAGCAACTTGCGGCTTTACAGGGACTCAACAAATCAGTAGATAACACCCCACGACTCCTGTACATCACGAGGCAGCAAAGCCACTTTCTGGAGCATGAAGCTGTTCAGTGTCTCGGAAGACCTCCGCTTATACTGGATAGATAGCACGACCCTCGATCCAGTCTCGATGGATCGAGCCTGCAGACCTGGTCTCCTTATTCCATCGCCTTTTCACTTCGAGACCATCCGGAGTTTGAAAATTGTCGACGAAAGTTCTCCTCAAGAGGACAATTGTTCCTCAACCTTTGCAGTCGACAATCAGGGCGTAAAGTCTGCGTAATTTGTGCCTTGGAAAGCTTGCCTCTGGGCTGTAAATGGTCACTGGCTTCACTTCTTACAACCAGCATCTTCTTTTCCCACCTCCGACGTGTATTTGATTCAAAGATGTGTCCTGCTTTTACCTCATCACGCCGTGATTTGTTCTCGAAAGCTATCTTCGAGTACCTGAAGAGACTTCTGCCGAAAATTTCTGGGCAGCAACAGGTACTGGGGAGCGAAGGAACGCTAACGCCTGTACTTGTCTATCAGGATGATCCGTTCAGTGCCAAAAAGCTTCAAAGAGAAAGGAGAGCTTCGCAGAATCAAAGCAAGACGCGCATACTTTGTGGTACTTCATTGACTGAGGCTTGGAACGGGACGGGACGTGACTGGACCATCGGAAAGCAAACTAAAGGTGGCTACATGAGGGAGGTACCTTCATTGCATACTTTGAAGTGCCTGTAAAAAGTGATGCGAGCAAGACTGATCCATCCATGACCATGAGGGAAGCATGTACATGCGATTAATGCCATGCAACTGGTACTGCTATGTACTGCAAGGATTTGCCACGAGCAAAAATGGGGGAACACGAATTGTACAAGTAATTATGTACAGGGACTCTTGTAGCCCATAACTGTCTGAGACCTTTTCTCATATATTCCAGACATTGGATTGGTCAGAGGCACCCGATCGAGCTTCACGATCCGCTTTGGCTGGTATTAGTATTCGTACGAGGTCACGTACAGTTTTGAGATGTCTGGGCCCGTTTCTCAGCTCAAACTGAAATTTTAAACCAGAGAGACTGCGTCACTACAAAAGTTGAGGCTCACTCAGGATTTGGCATACGTCTGGACCTGATTTTTATCCTTACGTCATGCGCAAAGTCCGTGTACAGAATGACGAAAAACCATCAAAGTAGTGATTTATATGCTGCAGGGCATCGCAGATCTGTAAGGCACGTCATGAAGTTGTACCTGTGCTACGTACATTCGACAACTAACGACTCGCAAAGACCATTCTCGATTATCGCCAGACTTTCCTTCACAGCAGAACAGTTGTGTTGAAGAATCAGAGAGCAATAATTTTTTATCCTAAATGAATTCTGCAGATTTTGAAATCACAGTCCCCCTTGCTATCAGCAAAGCACTGCAAGATCAATTTCAAGTTACTGTGGAAAGGTTGAAGTTCAAAGTGTCAGAAAGTGATCGGAATTTTATGTGAAGAAGCTGACTCCATAATGAGGAAATTCAAAGTAGAACGATAATTTTGTCTTATAAATATACGAGTGTTTCTTGTTCGCAGCCTAAGACTTCTTTCATATTTAAATGATTTGATGGTGCAAAGTTTATCGGAATCATCTATGTAGCCTTCTGATGAGCTTATTGACTGCATAAAAAATTATTTGGATAACGGGCAAACGACGAAGAACTCGTTCTCCAGTCTGAAGACAGGAGGATGGTCCTGCTAGAGTGATTACAAAGTGATCCTCAAAGACTTTCATTGCCTTGATCGTGAGATGCCTGTCCTTGGAGTGGTGGCTCAACTTCCTCCCAGTAAAAACGATGGAGCGCTGTTCTTACCGATTTGAACTCCTCACCTTCTCTTTTCCATGTAAGGTTGAAGCATGCTGCCCTTAGACGCCATGCGAACGGGAGATCGACGGGAGCTAAACACGTCGCCCAATTCTACAGATTCTTATGAATAGGTGTGACTTCACTTATAAACTGATTGACCGCTCGGCATGTCAATGTGTCAGGAGGTTGTGCCAGGAGGTTGTGCCAGGTTCTCAATCCTGTTTTGGGGATGATAGTTGCTAATGTCTGGGATGGACATCAACCGGCGGAGTTTGCGTGATATATTCATACCAACAGAACAAAATAATAATTTACACGTAAACTACAGCATCCAGCTCTGCAAATTTTGTACAAAGGGAAATGTTCAACTATGGTGGACTTCGGCTCCATGCTCCAAGATTTAGTATGGTCAGGTCTGGAACTTCATAGCAAAACAGCTGTATAGTAAAGCTTTTCCAAGAGTTCATTTAAAGTATTCTAGTGTTGTGTAGTGGAACAAAGACAGAAGTTGAACGCCAGTAATTTGGAGACAATATTTCAGTCTCCTTCTCATCTCTAGACCAACTCTTTTAGCAATTGTACTGGTGATGTTTCACTTCATGAGCTTCTATCAGAACCGAATGAAGTTGGCGATAGAAGCTGACCCAACCTCACTGGATTTGGCGCGGATGTTTACGCTTGATATATACGAGGAGCGCTTTCTGCATGGATCCTGACATGACATCAGACAGCTTCCCCAAGTGGTGAAGGTTTGATGTGCATCGTGAGAATTCAGTCACCACTGTACCGTGCGATTGGTCTTCCTACTCTGTTTTATGCTGCTCGTCGTACTCACCCAGACGCAAGTTAAATGTCAAGGATTTGTTCGTTTCATGCATTCCAGCTTTCACCTACCTTCAATCTTTGTACGGTGTTTCATTGATTTTGCTTTGGTCGTGATGCGTTTACAACCTGTGGACTTCCAGTATTCGTTTCTTTCCAAAAAAGCTATCTTTTGTAACCAGTTGTGTGCCAGATGCTGGTTTTAGATTACAAGATGAGGGTTGGTGCCTGATCTCCAGCCCAAGTTGTATCTTTGGCAAACATTTAGTTCTCATTCATCGCTGATTCCATCATTCCATGACTTCTTCCTCTATTGTGTTCTCCCCTGCTGTAGTCAGAGGACTAAGTTGACTTGCATCTCATTCTTCCGCTCGCGCTGAGATGTAGCTGGCGACGATACTCCATATCTAACATCTGAAGTCTGCATTGTAATTCGAAGAGTAGTCAATTGATTAACCTCAAAGGGCAAATCTCTACTGTATGTTCAACTGTTCCGATTAGCATTTGCCGTGTTGCGGCCACACGACGGGTGAAATCAAAGAAACAGTTCAACTGACTATCCTCTGCGATTGTGCAGACTTCACATAGACCACTGAACAGGCCTCACAGAGTTAAACAGGACGAGCATGTGCAGCTTGTAACATATGCACGACTACCTGGACGAAGTTTCATCTTTCGTTAGTATTTCATGTTTGTCAGGAAGCCAGTTTCGAAGCATGCTCTGCACCTTGTTACGGAATCTGTTCCTGTCCTGTTTGCCCTCATTATATATACACGATGTTCTGCTTCCTTCTTCGTTAGTACTTCTTATACCGGATATAACATACTCGTCGACTAAATTATCCGATCTCCAGTAGCCTGAGTTTGGTTGTGGCAGTCTCAACGAGCCCGTTTCCTCCCGGATTTGTGCTGTACTGTGCTTTGACGAAGAGATTTTGTGTCGCATTTTGGAGCGTTTGCAAATGCTGCGAGTGCTGCTCCGAGCATCTTCCAACTTATTGGCCAGAGACTAGAGACCCAAGGGTCTCTAGTCTGTTGCGGTGTCTGTTGCCTTCGTTGGACTCTGTATAGTTTCCCGTGGATGTTTGCCTTCGTGTTTATTTCCTGCGTCTACTTTTCTTCTATTTTCTTTCTTCTCTCTTCGCCTTCACATATCTCGTGATTCAAGGCATCTTCCAAATCTTCTATTCGAGAGAGTGACTTCCACACATGTTACAACTTGCAACATTATGTGTATGTAAGAATGTTAGCGGCAAGCTCTGTTAACTCTTAAGGAAGATCTTTAACTTTTGCAGAGAATATTTTGTATGTCTTATGAATTCTTAGGCTTGAGGGATTTTTCCACTTCTTCACTATCTATTTGGATAATTAGATTGATACATTGTGAGTTGCATCAACTAGTGTTTAGATCCATGGAAACATCCTTGCCATCTATTGATATAGAGAGCCATGACTACTTGTCTTCTTTTAAAACAATGTGTGATTCTTAATATAGTTTTAATAACACATTTTACAAGTTTGCAATTTTTTACTCTACATAATGAAGTACAGATATTTCATAAACCAAAAGCAACCTTATTACATACAAATCATCCTTATCCATCTATTTGATATTGGTATCATAAGTTTTTACAATAAAGAACAATTCTTACTGATTTCATTGTATTTGAGATAGTTAATTACATATGAAATATGCATACATCTGAATCAAGCCAAAGAAAAATCTTACAGTAAGGAAAATGTGAATTAAATGGATGAAAACTGTCAACCAAAATTCATATATTTGCAGCTGTAATAAATAAATAGCGTATGATACTCATAATATAACAAGCAAAATTGTCATGATCTCAATTAGTACAAAAAAGTTATCATGACATGCGTGATATCCTAGTCTTTTGATGTGGAAAACATGACAGATCAAAAGTGATTAAGTATCGATGGCGATGAGGAAGTGGATTAAATTTAAATCAAACTTGAATAATCAAGTACATCATAAAACTCTAAGTTTGATACTTATTGTCGAGTTGCTAAGCTAAGTTGAGAACTTGAAGTATTCGGAGTGAAGATATGGTGAAACTTTAGAGATATAACTTTTCTCATCAATATTTGATCTGTTTATCAAGATTAAATTTTGAACTTGTTTTGATTTTTATCAAATGCTAGATTTATGAAATAAATGATAATATATTTAAATCTCATTCTTTTGCTTTCTAAATTTTATCATGTAATTTGAAACTTACAAACTAACATTAGTTTTAATATTGATATTATGGATTTGGATGAATCTTTTGTTGCATTCATGAACACTTATGAATCTATAATTATTATAATTTTGATAGTTCAAAGAAAAATATTCCTTAAAGTTTTTTCAAAATTTTTATTTTCAAGTGATAAACTTGCTAATTGATTTTGAGTTTACAACTCTACTTGGCACATTTGAATTTTTGATATATATATATTATTAAATAAAATATTCATTATTTCTCTATTAAAATCTACAATATTTATTTGGTTGAAACTGAAAAATTCAGTCAGATTTATGTAAAATTCTTTTCAGTAAATTTCATTATTTACGCTTTTTATTGCTATTAAGAAACTTATCAAAAAATTAACAATTATTCGAGCTTTTGTAAGAATCTAGCGATATGTTAGAGTTATATTTGAAAAAAATATGACAAAATTTAAACTGTTGACAACATATGTCATAGATAGGTTCAAAGATTGAAAATTTTGATCAATTAAAAATATCAAGTATGAAGTATAAAAGTTACAAATGAATAATTCCTTTGCAAAAAGTTATTTGATTTTTGAAACATCAATTAATCCATAGAAATAAATAAAATCTAAGGTTATAGATAGATTTGATATGAATATGATAGAGAAAGATTTGAAGATAAAATTTTAATCGACAGTTAACGTTCAATAAAAAAAATCGAAAGTGATTATCATTTTTGCTACTAAAACTACTTTAAAATAATATTTTAAAGAAGAATTTGAATTATAACATGTTGTAAATTTTGCATTGATTGGAGTAACCGTTGAAAACTTGTGATGTGATTGTTCTATTGCATTGTGCAAATTGTTTTATGATAAATTTAATAATTGGCGAAGTGTTTTGAATATTTTGAAATTCAAAACTGTCAAGGTATTTTATTTATTACTAGCGCATTACAAACATTTTGCAATTAATTGTGAAGTTTGATTTATTGAGTGTCTTTCAAATCTTAAGAGTTTCAATATATTCAGATTCAAGTTTTAGAAATCGAAACCACATGAATGAAATGTGAAAGAAGATAATTTGAATATCCCAACTCATTCAAGACATCTTGACATTTATTCTATAGCTGAATTGTATGGACAAACACCATACAATTCAGCTATAATGAATGAATGAAGAACTATCAATGTAACAATATATACAAATCTGGAAAAAATAACAACTATCTTCTTGGAATCAAAACTTCTATAAAAAAAAATAGAAAATCCCTGATTCTTTGATTATAAATAATTTTTCATCAATCATATTTGATCAAAATATGTAACGATAATAGTTAACATAATATCTAGGTAACAAAAAATTCCTTACAATCTTACTTTATTTGTAAAAAGAATGGATTCCTGGATATACTTCAATATAAATCTATCCACAATGACATTATATAAATCAAAAGTAAAATAAATTTGGCATTAATATGTTACATGAACATTCTTTCTCATAACTCATAGTAGATATATTACTTCACACTGGATCAATAAAGATATGTGTTTCATGTCAAATTGTCAATTCTACTTTTTGAAGATATCTATGGGGTGATGCTAGTAAAAATATCCATGATTTTTGATGAAATATTGTAAAATCTGATGTGAAGAAAAACATGAATTTTTTAGCTATTTTTTCCAATAAAATCATAGAATACAGTCTAATTTTGAAACATATATTTCATGGGATGGTATAATTGTTTATAGACGGTACATCAAGCAAAATCTGATTCTAGATAATATGGGTTATATCACTACATACCTTCTACTTTTCACATAATAAGTAAACAAACACAAATTTGACTTCTAGCAATTGGTTTGGTACTTGTGGCATAAGGAGAGATCAATTAAAGCATTGAAATAAAACACTCAGAAGTAAACTTAAAATGGAAACGGATATAGCATTATTATTGTTGTACATCAACCTTGAAAATCTTGAAATCTCTATAATAATATTTTCACTTGATTGCTTATGTTTTACACATGTTTTGTGCATTTTGGAAAAAAACAGCTGATAGGAAATTTTCTTGAATAGATCTAAAAAATCAGATAGTTTTCAATCAATTAAATAAAAAAAAATGGCAAGGGTATATGATAAATAGATCAAGTTCGTGAGCACCAGAGGATCAAAAGTTCAAAAAACACCTCATAAGTCAAACATACACTAACCAAAAAAGGATTCTAAACACCTATTTAAAAGATTAAAGATCATAAAAGATACTAAAGAACTACCATTTGCAAGTGCCCAAAGCATTAGATTATTGAAAAATGACATAACTAATATAACAATCAAATCAAAAGACACAAGCTATAATAAAGAATAAAAATTCTTCACATCTATCTTACGGCCAGTCTAATCTTTTCATATCTAGTACATGTAACAAACAAATGTTTTTTATACTCAATATTTCCTGCGTCACATAACCTACAAACCCATTCACTCCTATCAAATAGTATAGCACCATCACTCTTCAGATCCAATTTTTTGAAATCCAGTGTTATGTTGAGCAATAATATGAAGTACGGACGTTCACTCTTATCAAAAGTATTTCATCGTACTTCCTTAATTTCAAGTCTATGATATCTAGTGTTGTGTTATG